CAACAAGCGCAGCTACGTTATAGTCAAGCCGCAACCAGACCTGACAGACCTACTGACTTACAAGACTTGAAGACTTCAACCAAGAGCAAAGGTCCTACGGACCGCTCTGACAGACAATGACGAATAGAAAAACCAGACAAGTTGAAGGGGAAAGGGGAGAGGGAGAAAGAAAGGAAGGAAGTAGGAGCGAGAAGAGAAAGAAAAGCAATTGTTTTATGTAAATATTTGAGGTGTGTTAGATCTAAGAACTGTTACCTTGTACTATATAAATTTTTGACTTGTCCTGAACTGAATTTTGGGTCTTTGGTTTTTAAAAAACATAAGCAACCTGTCATGATTGTTAGTAGTCAGTAGGTATAACCGTGGTTGACTATAGGGGGTCTTGTTATTCCAACGCTGCCTTATTTCTGTTGCACTGAAAACCATGTTCCGTACGCCTGTGTTCGCCCATACGCATAATCAGTCTGCACCCATATATCACATCGCCACCTGGATCTCCCGCGGTGGCTTCACACTCGGCGCTATATGAACACGTGTCGATCGCCGCACGTGCCTCGCTTTGATATGCAAAGTAGGGGCGTGGCGCGTGTACACATATGCCCGACGTATACCCGGCCTACTTTCTGCTCGCCTGATAGCGAGCGTCGTACTCTTCCCGAATGGGAACGACAGGGGACTCGGGATTGTGGCAACAGGTGCCGACGGTACGGGCGACGGCACGCGTCCGTGCTCGATCGAGAGACAGCGATGGGAACTGATTCACCGATTATTTTTTCAATAGCTTCAACCTGCATCGGCCAGTCTAAGCAAAAATAATCGGATATGCGGTTAACCGTCACCCGGAAATTCAAATTTTTAACTTAACCATACAAAAAACGATTATGTATTGGAAATGTGTGAGACTTCCAAAGATTTGGGCGTGTATTTCAAATGCCAGCTCACTTGAGGCAAATTATAAGTAATGCGTATCCCACATATGAATTTATTATCAGAAATTGTTGAAATTTCAACTTCACAATGCTTATCAAGTCATTTTTAGTGTTTGTTATAAGTAAGTCAGAATACGGTGCAATTATTTGGAGCGCTATCTCTGAACTCTGCAAAAATAATATTGAAAAAGTACAAAAGAAATTTCTCAAATATTTTCCAAGAGGATGTGACCACTCATTATTATTGAATAAACCTAATGTCCCTTCTTTGGTGAAGCGCAGAGAGAATGGTACCTTTGTAACTTAAGGTAATATGTTTTTAGTGCATCATTAACATTAAAACATAACATTAAATGTATGATGCAACTGGCGGAGTCTAGCCATTGGCCAACCCACTCAACCAATATTATTTAATATAGTCAACGCCAAACAAAGTGGCGTGCACGTCATCAAGGTGGGTGTGTTGAAAAATTTACATTGTTGCCAAACTTTTTGTAAAATAATAAAATTTATTATTTACATATCTAGGTTTATAAGCAATATTAACCTCAAATGAGAACAAAAATAATAGTATAATAAAATTATAGATCTGTACTTGCATAATCATTAAGTATGACAATTATTGATCAGATGACACTATGAAACTACCATATTTAATTGATAGCTTAAAGGTACTGAATAAAAATCCAAATGGGGTCCTCCAAATTTTATGCATGGTATTTATTTTACAGAATTCATACAGAAAAATGCATTCTAAAATTAGGTAAGCTACTGGTGTAAGCTTTTTCTGTACAATAAAGTTAGTCGGAGTTTCTTTCTTCAGCGCTGTCTGAATCTGAATCTTCATCACTCTCAAAGTTGATTATTAAAGGTTCGATGTCTGGTCGATCAAAAATTCGTTCTCTTTCATACCATTTAATAATTTCTTGCTCAGTATGTCGAACACTATTTTCCACATGTCTGGGGTAACCGTTTGTAGAGCCTCGTTCCACATATCCAAACAGTCTTTTTCACTGTTACCATCTCTACCAATATGTCTGTTATAGTAACCTTTTGCTATGCCCCAAATTAACTCAATAGGGTTAAATATACAATGGTAAGGAGGCAGACGAAGAACTTTGTGCCCATGTTGTTCCGCCAATTCATCAATCACGTATATTTTAGATGGTTTGTTTCTAAAAAAGCAGTTATTTTAAGAATAGGAATAAACAAAAGAAATATAAACTGTCGACCAAAATATATATAATTAAGAAGCATTATGTACCGAGCAACAATACTCAATAGCTCTGTTTTAAACATTGTGTTTAAAAATGGTATGTTTTGATTTGTCAACCAGTCTTGGATATTTTTTTTTGTCCATGCATTGTTGGGCACTTTGTTCAATATCATGCTGTGATAAGGCGCGTTATCCAGTATAATCATAGATGGACTCTCCAGTTTTTCTAATAACTGATGTTGAAACCATTTCAAAAAATTGTCCTGGTTCATCTCTCCATGGTAATCGCTCAATTTTGTTTTCGAAGAAAATATCGCTTCACTACCCTCAATAAACCCATTTTCATTTCCAGCATGTATCTTTTACCATCTGTTTTAATAGCTTTCACGCTTTTTTGGTTTCCATTTTGCCAAGAGCGACCTATGGTCCCATTTTGAAATATCCAAGTTTCATCGAGGAAGACAAACTGGTATAAGGCCTCAACCTTGGCTTGATTGTATTGCCTTAGAAATTCCACCCTTTTCAAAGCTATACTTGGTAGTTCAATGAGCCCTCGTCGCGGATTGTCCTTAAGCCACTTAAATCCAAGATCTCTAAGCAACCGCCTTAAAGACGTGGCACTACCATCAAATAATGCCCTATCTCTTAATCGAGACCATAAAGTTTGTATCGTAACTTGTTCTTCTGAAACCATGTGTAATATGACATTATAATTTAGTTAACAAATTAATGCAAATTTCTGATAAGTTATTATAATAAGATCTTACTTTTGTGATACATATTATAGATCACTTCTCGAATGGCACTTGTATCCAATGTCGCTGTGTTGGTTACACGTTTAATATAACTCCGCTTTTTCTTGGGCGATTCTAAATTTGCATCACTTTTCACACCCTCAGAAATACGACTAACTGTCCTTAAACTAATTTTTAAAGCAGCAGCAACACGCTACAAAAAATGAAATAAAATTTCACTATTATTAATATACATTACATATAATTATTAGTAACCTACCTCTTGAACAGCATTTAAAGGCAACAAAGGCCCGTTGTTGTCCCTTTCTTGCTCAAAGTAGTGCATTAACGAGGCCACGAGTTCCTTACACCGACTATTTAACTGTTTGGGCATCTTTATATACCAAAATTGCCTTTATCTACTCGTAAAATGAATAATTTTGTTTTGAAACAAACAGTTGTTGATTTACAGTATGCGGGGCCAAAGGATTTATAAAGATTTGAAATGCCACAAATTGATTCAGTGTCAAAATTAATACAAATGTCAGTTCCCAGTTTAAATAAGTTTCAAGGTGACAATGTGTCAACGCTGCGAAATCGGTTTAGTGCGTTTACATGTCGATAAGTGATTGGAGCGTTTGCAAAACATTTTATTTCGCATAATGCGTCTAAATTTATCAGAAAGCAACTTATGTGATATTTTAATAACAATGTTTATATGACTATTAACCATAATAAGAGAGTAATGACCATTTTACAATTTATATATCACATTAATATGAAACTGCAATAGAGCAATTGTTTGTGATAGAAACCTAGGCATTAGGTCGGGGAATTTTTATCGTTATGACGTGCACGCCACTTTGTTTGGCGTTGACTATATATAAAAAAATTAAATTACGTGTAAGCTTACGAAATATCTCAAACACATTTTTTCATACGAGTCCTACCTTGTAGCACATAAAACATTTCCAGTAGGTTCACAAGGCTGCTTAGTGTCACTCAGCGCTACGGCCCTTACGCCTGTTTACATTATACATTCTATTCCTTCTCTGGGTACTTGTTCCCAGGATAAACTTTGTTAAAGATACGGGCGTGGATGGCGATGCAGTGCAATTATTGCGTGGAGGAGATCGCTTCTCAGACTAAGTAGTGCGCTTTGTGAACTTGATTACAGTGTTGATGTGCTATTGGGTGTAGTGTTTTGGTTACCTGAAAGGTGAGCAATCACTGAGTGTTTCCTTTATTCTACTGTACTGCATGGATTGATAGTTTTATATTCATAATCATGAATGTCTTAAGCCATGTTTATAAAGATGCTATACTTTTTACCTTCATAATTTAACTTATGGCTTACGACTTGTTATTGAATATCCGCAGGTGGGACGCCTCCAGGTTCTGGGGGTTGTTATGATTATGATTTATGGTGTCGAATGCCTTACAAAAATCAAGAGAGAGAGAGAGAACTCTTGCAGGTTCTTATCCAGATTGGAGACTATATCATCAACTATAATAGATAACGCAGAAACAGTGCCCGAAATGCTCCTCGGGTAATATATAGAGTAAACTCTAAAGTTTGTTTGTATATTATTTTCTCTAATAGCATTTGAAGTAACTGGTAAGATGCTGATAGGTCTTAAGTCACTAACTTATTCTGGATTCTTGGTCTTAGGAAGTGACATAACTAGCACTTTCCATGGTTGGGGAAAATATCCTGTTTCTATGCAGCAATTTAGAACGTAAACCAAGTAACAAGAAATGGCTCGAAGACATAATTTCATCATTTGAACAAATAAGCATCCACGCCCCAAGCATTAGATTTTATTTTATTAATAGCACCAAAATCATCATGTGTAGATATTGATACTTCTTAAACTAAAATTTCTTTGATTAGTGAGTTTTATATTTGAACAGTGCTTAATTTGATGTTCACATGTTAAATTTGAATTGGAAATCCTAAAATTTGCCCCCAAAAGAACATAACACGTCTGTCATTTCGTTCGTGATCTGTCAATGAAACATTTTCTTTCATTTCGTCGAACTATTCCCAAATATAAAAAAACTTTTTTTTGTAAGGAATAAACGTTTCCATTTATTTTCTGTGCACAATGAAACACTGACTTTTGAATCACAAAACTTTATTAAAAAATATAAACATGTCATTCACTTGTATTCTATATTACTAAGCACAGCAATCTGTATATTATCTCGGTTAACACCTAGCTCTCTGCGTTTACCGCTACTTGGCACAAGAAGACACAACAGCCCACCTACAACTACAACAGCTGAAACAACCAAAATCGCAACATCGCAGTAGCTGTCCACTAAATATCCGAATAGTATGTTGCTCAAAACGGCTCCAATTCTTCCGGAGAACAGAATGAGGCAGACCGCTATACCGTTGACGGAAGTCGGAAAGAGTTCCACTCCAAGGCCAGCGATGGTCATGTTGGCACTGATCATGGTTGCTTGGAAGATGCAGGAGACGATCAGGTTCTGCAGGGAGCTGGTCAGCCAGTAGATGCTGCCCGCACATGCGCCACCTGTCGAGAAATCAAAGAAGTTGATAATACTGCTTTCGTTCTATTCGATCGTCAACCATGTACAGCGAGAGTGTTCACATCGAAAGCCTCACTATTACCGATTGATGCCGTCGATTCTGGCGACATAGTGGTAGTCAGTATTGTGAAGCATTTACGTATCTGAAATTACACAAAAATCTCCTTATCATCCAAAGCAACTATATAAATAAAAATATTTTGTGTTCGGCTACTGTCCGATAGATGGCGCTGCACATAGCTGGCCATCACAAGGCCCACCATTTTGAATGACTACCTAAAGCAAATGAGGTCACGTGCAGTGTTGCCATACGTAGCGGAATTCCGCTATTTGTAACGGATTATTTTGAGAAGAGCGGCGTAGCGGCGGTAGAGCAAATTAGCCCAAAATGTAGCGGAATTCATTACATACAAAACTATCATATTTATTTCACTGTTTTAACGTTAATAACGTTCTAAATCCTAAATAGGCAGTGGCTAGAGTCTGATTTATTATCACATTAATAATAAAATTGGTGCATTTGGTGCCGCTTGAGCCATCAAGGAACAGAAAAGAGAATTATTCCTCTTGCCTTTTTTCTTCAATAACAGATGCCGTACGTACTGCTTTCAATACTAATCGTTTCTAGCAGGTCTCAGCAGGCAGACATAATATTAGGTTTCTCGCTTAGTATTGTATTTTTCAGCTCTGGGTATATACTGTTTAGTTTCGTTTATATTAGTGTTCTTATTTTTGTGTTGATCATTTTATTGATATATCATCTGCTGCAGATTTTAATATTAAATCTACTGGTAAGTAACAAAACTGCTTAAATATCTAACATATTATAGTTTGATCCAGAAATAAATCTTAGTCGCAAAATTTGTTTTTAACGCTTTTTCTTCTGGAAAATAGGAATAATGGAAAGGCGACAGCAGACCATTAACGATTTTTTTGATAAAAATCCTTCTAAAAAACAAACGTGGCCGTACCATCCACTTCGACTGCATCTGTGTCGGACTCGGAGCATCCCGAACCTGAATACAGACAAAATAAAAGAGCGGAACAAATGTTTACTTCATCATGGCTCATCCGTTATTTAAAGGCTGGTTGGGACCTATTGAAAATGACAAGTTGAAAGCAAAATGTAAACCATGTAATCAAATAATGGGTGCTAAAAAATCAGATTTAGTGAATCATTCGAAATCAAAAAGGCATGTCCAAATGTACAAGCAATTTCGAATGTAAGAACGTTAGATAGCACCAATATTTGCTTGCTTAAGATATAGTCTTTTAGTTGTAAGTCATTATATAAGTTTAAGAACTGTTGATCATATAACAGGAGTTAGTCAATTATGTTTTAAAGACCCAGATCTCTATAGCTCAGTTAAATTAAAAAGATCCAAATGCATAAGTATAATTAAAAATGTGCTGGCTCCTGTTATTAAATACGAAATAATTTCAGAATTGGAAAATAAACCATTTTCTATTTTATTGGATGAGAGTACAGACCTGAGCAATACAAGACTACTATGCATTCTTGTAAGATATATTCATAAAAATTCAATTAAAACCCATTTATTAGATATAATTAAAATAAACGCAGATGAAGGTACCGCCAAAGGTTTATATTCTCTTTTTAAAAAATGCGTTATATCCAATCAAGTAAAAATTACCAATATTGTTGGATACTGTTCCGACAATGCTAGTGTTATGATGGGCAATAACGAATCTTTCAAAACTTATCTTTTAAAAGATAATCCTAATATAATTGTCAATGGCTGCATTTGCCACTCTGCTCATTTAGTGGCGGTGGCGGCAGCTGAAAAGATTCCAAGCAACGTTGAAGCTCTTTTACAAAACTTATATTCTTACTTCTCAAGAAGCCCAAAAAGGCAGTGTGTTCTTGAAGAATTACAGGAATATTTCAAAAAGTCAAAATTAAAAATTTTAAGCTCTAGTAAAACAAGGTGGCTTGCTTTATCCAAATGTGTTGATAGAGTTTTGGATGAGTGGGACATCTTGCTTAGCCTATTTAGATTAGCTTCCATTGAAGACAAAAATCCTGTAGCAAATGTAATACTTAATGAGTTACAGAATCCATTTGTTAAGGCGTATTTAATGTTTTTTAAAATCGTGTTGCCCATTTTTAAGCAATTTAATGCTCTCTTTCAATCAGAGAAAGTTATGCTCAATATCATATCAATAGAAAGTGAGCGATTTGTACGTCATCTATGTACAAACTTTATGCGACCAGAATATTTTAAAAATGAGAAATTATATAATCTAAATCCTAATGATCCCCACTGCTTATTACCAATTGAACAAGTGAATGTCGGTCCGCATACAATGGATGTAATAAAACACTGCAATAACACGGTAATCGAACAATTTAAATTAAACATTTTACCAAAAATCGGTAGAAGAGTCCCTTAAAAGAGTTCCTATCAAAGACAACTTCTTTTCAGAGCTAAAGTTTCTCTCACCGGTTGATGTGATGAACAATCGTCTTATTATAAGTGATACCTTTCATGACGCCGTTTTAAAAAAATTTGCCCTTCATATTGGAACCGAAAAGGCAATTTTGGAACTAAAGAAAATATGTATTTATTTTAATGATAGTGAGAAAGAGGGAATTTTAAAAACAAAAAGTAATGTCATTGAATTTTTGTCGTTTGTAAACGACCTCAAAAATTTTAATGACGAATATTTATTTCGCAATATAGGTAAACTGGCTCTAATCATTTTAACATTGCCTCATGGAAACGCTGATGTTGAGCGAACTTTTTCTTATATGCTTGATTACAAAACAAAAAAAAAGAAAGAAAAAATACCATCAACTTACAATTAAATTAGACTTGGAATCAAAAAAAAACAGTGCTGCTTATCCTATAGTTTTAATGAGAATCATTCAAACAAATATAAAAAGAATTTATATAATGTAAATAAGGAAGAACAAGCTGAAGAAGAAGTAATTTCTGATTCTGACTGTGAATAAAATAAGCAAACGTAGGCATTTCCACGTTTCCGCTTCTTCTTTGTCCTTATTTTTTGTTTTTTTTTTTTCTATTAAGATTAAGATATTGGTGATAGTTTCTATTTTTTTATTAGTTCCTAATTCTAAACCAAAGACAGTTTTGTTTTTTTAGAGGTATACTTTTTATGTTTTTACGAAAAATTGCAATTATGTTATGTTACTGTTTGTATTTTTAGTAGGGTTTTTAGACAGTGTTTAAAAAAAAGTAAATATGTAAAAAATATATTTGTTGTTTATTTTAAGCCTCCCCCCCCACTTAAATTTTTAGACCGTAGCGGCATGTAGCGGAATTTTGCGATACGTGTGACGGATATTTTAAACTTCGCTCTGGCAACACTGGTCACGTGGTGACTGGGGCTCCAATTGTCCTAACTGTCTTTTTTCGATAAATTCCTATGAATCTTATTTTTTTAAATTGTCAAATTTTCGTAAACTCGCAAAATTTTGGAACTCACCAAGTATCAACGCAACCATAGTGACAACTCGAATGTTGATCCAACCGACAGCAAGGCAACACGCAAAGTTAAAGACCAGTGAAGTGACACCCATGGCCACCGTATTATTGATGACGGTATTATTGAAGAACGACTGGCAAGTTTCTGAAGAATCTTCTTTGAACAGTGAAGCCAGCTCTTTCACAGAAATGGTGGAATCAGGATGCAGTGCTTGGTATTTCTCAAAGCGGACGAAGAGCTCTGGCAGCCACATCCCAAGGCCAAACATGCTGGGGATCAGTTGATGTCATATGTCAATTTAAGCTATCAATAGATCGAAAGGAAACTGTGCGTAAAATCAATCTCTAAAGTAGAAACTAAATTTGCTAAATGCACTCAAGGACACATCAAGGACAAGGCGAAGCGCAAATGCAGGCCAGTGTCCAAGGTCGAATCAGAACTTGGCATTCATTATTCAATATGCCTATTTGTATGATATCTGTTTCATAATAAAATGCGGTAAAACTCACCCAAACATATTTGTAAACATAATACTGCAAATCAGAAACGTGATAGACCTTAAAGGCGGCTTATATAGGCTCTTAATCTGTCCCAACACGGTTTTCAATAACCGTATAGCTTTTCTTTCACACGAAATGCTATTTTCGTACTTGTTGGTTCGTACTTTGTTCTCGTTTCGTAAGTATTTCACTGGGTAGCAATCTCTGCTCCTTCCTGTATTTACTGCAAACATTTTCTTCAAGACATCTGAAAAGTACGAGGCATGTAAGTAATGAGATTTGCAACGTAGCGTTCGATCTGGCAACACTGGAGGCGCCGGACGTGGAGCGGAGACAGCGGAATATGTCATCCGCCTTCAGTACAAGTTTGAACTCGGTCGAGACATTTGGTTGGCAGTAGCGACTTTTTCGATTGTGTTCCAAAAAATTTGAATGAACTCGTTTTGGAACCGTCGAAAACATTCACAACGCTGTAACCGACCGGCTGAAGGCTATAGTATCAGAGTTCCAGCACTGCTATGCGAAGTGAAAAGAAAGGTATTTATATTTATATATATATATATATATATATTTCGACAAAATTTAAGCAAAGAGGACTCTTTATACTTTTTTTAATTCTCTCTAGCTTTCAATGGACTTTGCCATCATCATCAGGAGCTGCAATTACAATGATAACAGTAGCAACAAAGGTGTAAAATGAATTTAAATTGACTCAACTTACAGTAGTATGTGAGGATGTTGCTAATTGTTGTTTACGTATAGGATGAGGGAAACGTCCAGTAACATGGTGAGAGCTGGATAGATTGTACAATAGTCAAACTTATATAAAATATGACAAGAACAAGTTAAAAACAGATTAAAAATTATTTAAAAAAATTTTAAAAATTAGAGCATTACATCGTGAAGCCACTTGATGATTGCACAAATTAGTGGTCATGGAATGATGAGTGACATGAAACCCTTTGACAGAAGGCCGAAGGATGTCAATGTCAGTATTGAAAGATGGAACGAATTGTGGGCGTGTGCCAAAACGTTGCCAAATCACTTCAGATGATGAGATTTTCAGAATTTTATGTTAGAATTTGTTAAACCGACCAGAGGCAGTTGAATAAACTATATTATTATCAATGGGAATTTGAATTAACAATTATTAATAAATCGTGAGGAGAGAATTATTATATTTTGAGTGGAATGAAATTTACTGGTGGAATCGGCCAAAACACAGATTCTAATTATGGTTGTGAAGAGTTGAAATTTGGGGAGATATGTAAGTTCTCCAATTTTTCGCAGTTTAGCAAATATGAGTAAATGACACTCAGTTGTTTAACATCTGTCTTTTTGTTGATACAGTTGTTATTCATGAAAATGTGGGACATTTCCAGGAATAAACGTTTGGAAAGGTGTTTTTCTTTATCAAGAACTTTGATACTTGTGTAATTCATAGAATGCCCTGTTGTGTTAACATGAGATGCTAGAGCGCATCTTTCAGGATGAAGCCTAGCATCACTTTTGTGTGATGTAATCCTTCCTTTAAGAGATCTGGAGGTCTGACCTATGTATATTTGGTTGCAGTTGTTGCAATTGATGGAGTAGACTGTGTTGGTTAAGCCAAGCAGCGGGACTTTGTCTTTCATTTTTGAAAAAATGCAGTTTATAGTGAGGACGGATTTGCAAGCAATTCGAAAGTTCAAAGGACTGCACAATCTGATCAGCTTAGGGGTCAGTTCCTTGATGTAGGGCAGGACAGCAAAACCAGGTCTGGAGTCCGGGTTGGTGCTTGTAATGTTAGGATTGATGTTATTATTGGGAATTACATCAGTTCCGTTATTAGGGGTTGTGCGACTATTACCTGCATCACCAGAGTTCGGCAAAATATTGGAAGGTGAACTAAAAATGATCCAGTTAATCAGACACTTCGGATAACCATTATTGATGAACAGTTTTGATAGTTTACGTAAATTTGAGGTGTGGAAGGTATTATCTGAGATGCTGATTACCCTTGTTTTCATCTGTTTTACCAAATTGATTTTAATCCCTAGCTTATGGTATGACCTGAAATTGAGAAACCGACCTGAGGCCATAGGTTTCTGGTACCAGTCTACCAATAAACTGTTGTTGTTGGTGCGAATGAGTCTTGTGTCTAGAAAGGGGACAGACAGGTTCTCATCTTCTTTTTCAATGGTAAATTGGATGTAGGGGTCATAGCTGTTGAATTCTCTGACAATACCATCCAGACCTATGGAAGGGAGGCATAAAATAATGTCATCTACGTATTTTTTTATGAAGAAGAGGTTATAGGGTAGTGTCGGAATAACAGTATCAAGCAGATCATCCATGACATATTCCGCCAAAATTGGTGACAGAACAGATCCCATAGGACAACCATGTGTTTGAGAATATATTTTGTTGTTGAAAGAGAAATAATTGTTATGAAAAAGGAATGTTATAATGTTGGTGAAAGATTCTAGAGATATGTTGCATATATAAATATCGACAACACTAAAATCAGCACATGCAGATAATGATTACTACATCAAAGACTCATTTGAAGTCTCTCGTCAGTTCAACAGATTGACAATACCAGCCGATCATATTATCGCCAGTCTTGATGTGGTGTCGCTATTCAGCAACATCTATCTGGATGCATGTACAAGAACTATTAATAAACACTGGAATGAGATAAGTCAACACTGCAACATATCTCTAGAATCTTTCACCAACATTATAACATTCCTTTTTCATAACAATTATTTCTCTTTCAACAACAAAATATATTCTCAAACACATGGTTGTCCTATGGGATCTGTTCTGTCACCAATTTTGGCAGAATATGTCATGGATGATCTGCTTGATACTGTTATTCCGACACTACCCTATAACCTCTTCTTCATAAAAAAATACGTAGATGACATTATTTTATGCCTCCCTTCCATAGGTCTGGATGGTATTGTCAGAGAATTCAACAGCTATGACCCCTACATCCAATTTACCATTGAAAAAGAAGATGAGAACCTGTCTGTCCCCTTTCTAGACACAAGACTCATTCGCACCAACAACAACAGTTTATTGGTAGACTGGTACCAGAAACCTATGGCCTCAGGTCGGTTTCTCAATTTCAGGTCATACCATAAGCTAGGGATTAAAATCAATTTGGTAAAACAGATGAAAACAAGGGTAATCAGCATCTCAGATAATACCTTCCACACCTCAAATTTACGTAAACTATCAAAACTGTTCATCAATAATGGTTATCCGAAGTGTCTGATTAACTGGATCATTTTTAGTTCACCTTCCAATATTTTGCCGAACTCTGGTGATGCAGGTAATAGTCGCACAACCCCTAATAACGGAACTGATGTAATTCCCAATAATAACATCAATCCTAACATTACAAGCACCAAACCGGACTCCAGACCTGGTTTTGCTGTCCTGCCCTACATCAAGGAACTGACCCCTAAGCTGATCAGATTGTGCAGTCCTTTGAACTTTCGAATTGCTTGCAAATCCGTCCTCACTATAAACTGCATTTTTTCAAAAATGAAAGACAAAGTCCCGCTGCTTGGCTTAACCAACACAGTCTACTCCATCAATTGCAACAACTGCAACCAAATATACATAGGTCAGACCTCCAGATCTCTTAAAGGAAGGATTACATCACACAAAAGTGATGCTAGGCTTCATCCTGAAAGATGCGCTCTAGCATCTCATGTTAACACAACAGGGCATTCTATGAATTACACAAGTATCAAAGTTCTTGATAAAGAAAAACACCTTTTCAAACGTTTATTCCTGGAAATGTCCCACATTTTCATGAATAACAACTGTATCAACAAAAAGACAGATGTTAAACAACTGAGTGTCATTTACTCATATTTGCTAAACTGCGAAAAATTGGAGAACTTACATATCTCCCCAAATTTCAACTCTTCACAACCATAATTAGAATCTGTGTTTTGGCCGATTCCACCAGTAAATTTCATTCCACTCAAAATATAATAATTCTCTCCTCACGATTTATTAATAATTGTTAATTCAAATTCCCATTGATAATAATATAGTTTATTCAACTGCCTCTGGTCGGTTTAACAAATTCTAACATAAAATTCTGAAAATCTCATCATCTGAAGTGATTTGGCAACGTTTTGGCACACGCCCACAATTCGTTCCATCTTTCAATACTGACATTGACATCCTTCGGCCTTCTGTCAAAGGGTTTCATGTCACTCATCATTCCATGACCACTAATTTGTGCAATCATCAAGTGGCTTCACGATGTAATGCTCTAATTTTTAAAAATTTTTTAAATAATTTTTAATCTGTTTTTAACTTGTTCTTGTCATATTTTATATAAGTTTGACTATTGTACAATCTATCCAGCTCTCACCATGTTACTGGACGTTTCCCTCATCCTATACGTAAACAACAATTAGCAACATCCTCACATACTACTGTAAGTTGAGTCAATTTAAATTCATTTTACACCTTTGTTGCTACTGTTATCATTGTAATTGCAGCTCCTGATGATGATGGCAAAGTCCATTGAAAGCTAGAGAGAATTAAAAAAAGTATAAAGAGTCCTCTTTGCTTAAATTTTGTCGAAGTACCCAACAAAAGGCGGAAGCTTTAATTTTTCACCTAACTGGTCTAGACGACAATGACCACGTCTCAAGTTATATATATATATATATATATATATATATATATATATATATATATATATATATATATATATATATATATATTTTAATTATAAAAATGAGTAGATTCTCAAAAATAAAAATAAAATTACTCTTTCTAGATTACCATATAGGTATCATAAAAGAAAGTTACTGTAATGTTGGAAATATATGAAATTGATGGTGAAATTGATTCCGCATACGAGGGTTGATCCGTAGGCTCCGCCTGAGACCCACTTGCAAAATCATTATAGGTGGTGGCGTTGATAGTTTTGTCAACACACGCGCAACATACATTTTGTCGACTAAATATTATTATTATAGGCACCTAATAATGTTACGCGTTCAAAATGAGGTCACATACAGTGTTTTTTTAATGTCCCCCTCTCCCCTTCGACTTTTTGCACGGATCAATTAAAAAAATGTAAACTTGAGGTAATGAAATTGATGCGTGGATACCATATTTTAGAGTAAAATTGACAGATGAAAATGTCAAAATGGCCGCTGGACGCCATCTTGGAAAAAATAATTATATAAAAACAGGGGTCTTGTAGCACATCATTTTGAAGCTCCTGACGAGTACTTTATAACCCTAGAATATAAAGTCAATACCTTTACCCACTACAAAATGGTGGTACATTTAATAATTACTTTAACACACATATCTCTACAAATAATTGTAATTCCCTGTCGTATCCACAGCAACAGCGATAAAAACTTGTTTTGTTATTTTTTGTTGACAGTGACAAGAATATCAGTACGAAAACAAACATCACTGTACAGTTAAAATATTCTTATTTAGTTTTCGCTTTTAGTGCTAGAGACTGCTGGAACTATTTTTAAAATGGTCAAGTCTAGTCCACTGGGCGAAGAAATCGAAGCGATTTTTATGTATGGTGCGACGCGCAGGGGGACATTTAAGAAAAGCACCGTATAAGACCGCTCCCTGCTCGCAAACAACAAATTAAAAATGAAAAAACCAAAAAGTACCTGAGTACCTAAGGATTTGTCGATCTTCCCAGCTGCTGCATAGTACTTAGGGCTTTCAGGCATCCTGATGAACCACAAGCCAACCAGAATCTCTGGTACTCCCAGTACAACCATGAATAATCTCCATGGTGTAAGCACTAGTACTCCTCCAAAGTTGTAGTCTATTGGCAGAGGCAGAATCAAGTGAGATAGGAGAGGGAGGATGAGCCATGATAGGGTGAAAAAAAGGCCGCAGTAACATGAGGTTTTGCTGCGAAACCTTGGCGGCTGGAACTCGGCGAAGTAAGGGAAGATTATGCTTCCTGGGCCTCCCACCAGAAATCCGTTGAGGAATCTGGAAAAAACGTAAATGGGTCACGCTGAGCATCATGGTTTCTGACAGATTTACTATCCTAGTTATTTTCAACAACAAATTTTGTACGTTTTTTTTTGACACTATATAGGTTTTTTACGTAATAAGTTTGCCGATGTTTATTACAGACAACATAGTAGCAGTATAGTTGCATTTTTAAGATATATTGCGCTATTTTTTCAGTTCACATTTTGCTTTAACCCTAAGGTGAACCATTTTTCTTACACACTCATGTATTTTAACATTTTAAACATTTTACTTACCTACAGATCACTATACTAGCCGTATAAGGACTTAACGCGCATATTATCATGACACCAGCATTGGTCAAATGTGTTCCTATAAGCACTTTTCTCCTTCCATATAGATCAGCGAGGATTCCCCAAAAGAAGCAACTTACTGTTCCTCCCGCTAAGAAGGCCACATTGAGCAGCCCGATTTCGTATGAAGTGAGATGGAGTTCGCATTGTGCGGCTGGGAATACGTAGGCGGACAGACCATTTTGGAACCCTATGACTAGAACGCACAAAGAACAGACTAGGATGCTTTCGTAGTGGAATCTGCCAAATCCTGAAATTGTCATAAGGTAAAGTGTAATTTTTCATCACAAAAACCGAGACAAAAGCATTTTAGAGAAATTCCATGAAGAAATGATTTTTTTGTTTCCCAAGCAACTTTTGCAAAATTAATATACCAATTTTGTGCAGTAACATGCAAAAAAACGGTTTTTATTTTTTTCTCGAAAACGAAGTAAGATACGAAAAAAATACAAGAGACAAAAAAGTTGTATTACTAGATGCATAATCAAACAACAAATATTAAAGTTACAAAAAACTCAGTGGCGTACATTTTTCTGCCAATAGTATTCGCTAAGGTGCCCCCGGGACGCCATTGGGCGTAATAATCTTAATCTATTTATGGCTAAATTTCGACTGAATGAAGTTAATATTTTTTAAGATATTAGTATGAATCATAATAACGTACCTGTTAGTCGAACAGCATCATCGAACGTGGTCCCTTTCAAAAAACCAGATTCCAGCTTCTTCATACTCAACCACTAAGCTTCGAATTACGCCAGGAAAATTTATTAGATTGTAGACCGATCGGACTATGCAATAATTATTACAAAACGAAAATCATAATATTTATTTGAACTCTACAACATCGAAGCACGATTCGGAAGACGCATTTCACTAAACAAGACGGCGATCGTCGATGATGACGTTTTGATTAAAAAAAATTGCAGGTGTTTTTTTATAGTTCCTCTCAGATACCGGCTATCGCAAAAAATGTGATAACGGCCAATTTTCCATCGTTATGTGCAGGGGAACTGACTGGTCACGGACTCAACGGAAAAAGTGTCGAGAATAAGCAGGACTGGACTTGGGATCCGACAAGAGCTTAACGCTTGCAAATGACAGATGTGGAAGCAGTTCCCTTCGCGTCGCTTCGCCTCAGTGGGTGTGACTCTTTACGAGAAATCGAATAATAATCATTTTTTATGTTCACTATTTATTGAAAAACGTTTTATTCTTAGAATGTCTTATAACTGAGATAAGTTACCAATGTGTATTAACCGCTATTTAGTCAAGAGTTTTATCGGAAGGTCATAATCAGTATTACTATGTGTGTCTGTTTTTAATGCAGCAAAAATAAGGAATCGTTAAGCCGTCAATTACGCTATTCTTGCCTTGTCCCATATTATAGCAAATAACGACGTTCTGGGAGACAACATTTTTTTATGATCACTAAAATGAACCTGAGTAAATTGACACCATGACAGGTTGCATGATTTATTTTTCCGTGATAGCCAGTAACAAAAATTCTGAACTTTGGAGGACTTTATCGTGTAAAAGTCTCTGTGATATTTGTGAAATGGTTACTCTGACCAAGAAACGAATAGGTTAGGAGTCACAGAATCACAGAACGATAACTGGCCACATAACCAGCAGAACTAGAATAAAATGCTACCTTGCCACAAAACATACATTGCTGTTCAAAAAGGTCGCCCGGTACTAATGTTTTGAAGGGTTGAATGTAGAAAGCCGAAATTCAAAGAGATGAAATAATGCATGGATACGATGTCTTAGCGTGAAAGTGGCAGTTGTAAATTTCAAGATAAAATATTTTTTAAATGAAATGAGGTGTCGTCATCTTGGATCTTCTTCTAAGTACTTTGTAAGCCTGAAATATAAAATCATTTTCTTCGAAAATAGTGATCTGATATGTTGTCAAAATTGAGCAAGCTTAAATACTCGCTTAGAACTCTAAAGTATAGTATTTGTGCGTCAATTTCATTATTCCAAATTTCAACTTGGCATTCTCTGATTTGTCAGACTTACGAACTGATACTATGACTCAGGAACTAAGAACTTTATGTTTTTCTTAACAAATGAAGCCCTATATGTACAATAGTACCAGCAAAGAGTAACCTCTGTATGTGGTTTTATTTGACAAATAGAACATGAAATTATATAAGCACGAAAATCACAGAATAAACTTCAGCTGTTACGTTACACAAGAGGTAATGTCATATGGACCGCTTTGAGAGCCAACGTTCACTTGACTGACTGATTATACTTTCTCCAACAAAGAGTAACACTTGTGAATCCAATACAGCAGACCAACGTTAGGATTGAAAGAAAAATAAAGCTGACCATCGTCAGCATACAATCTTGCCTGATAATTTCGGAGACATAAAGCTTTGAGGCATAAATACTAAAAATTAGAGGACCTAAAATGGTGCCTTGTGGAATACCCGATTGGATGACATCTTCGGAGGAATTCCCTTTATATGTTTCTACGTATTGTGTTCTGTTAGTTAAATAGTGGCACGTAGGCGTGATAGCAAACTCGGAAAACCCTATACGAGGGATGTCTTTTAAGTTTTGCATATAGAAACTTAGTAGGCCGCGCAGATCGAACGTCAGTACTGAATTTTAAACTCACTCTTTAGTAAACTTAAATTTTAAAGTTTAAAGTTTCACACCAATACGTGCAGTGTTCTCACTACAGAGAATTTTTAAGTGTCACCAAGTCATTAGAAAAACGGAACCCAACCGAGAACATTTTCGCGCCAAAACTTATTACAACTTTCAGAGACAATTATCGCAACAAGAATGCCTTGCTGAGTTACTGCTTGTTTTCGGCAACGAAGCGCCACATCAGTCGACAATTTCCCTTTGCATGGAGAATTCAAAGGTGAACGGGTGAGTCTTAGCGACGATCCCAGGGTGGGTGCACCAAAAACGGCAGTCACCCAGGAAAACGTCGATGCTGTGAGCAAACTCATCATTGAAGATAGACATGTGACATATCACGAGATTGAGGTGTCCTTGAAGATCTCAAAGACCTCAATTAAAAAAAAATACCTGAAGAATTAGGAGTAAGAAAATTAGTTTCTCGTTGGATCTGTTAACTGAAGAGAGAGAAAACAGCCAGGGTTAATTGGTGGCAAAAAACGCTTGAGCGTTTCAAATCCGGAAACTCAAAAAATGTGTAGAGCATTGTCAGTGTGTGATAAATCGTGGATTTACTGTTATGAACCAGAAAATAAACGGCAGTCGGCTGTTTAGGTGTTCCAAGGTGAAGAAAAGTGTTTCGAAAAAGATGGTCGCGACATTTGTGTCAAAAGCGGGTCATATTGCAACAATTTCTCTTAATGAGCAAAGAACTGTTACTGCGGATTGGTATACCACCATTTGTTTGCCAAAAGTCATGACCGAGCTTCGAAAAATCAACCCCGAAAGAAGAATCATCCTCCACCAAGACAATGCAAGCTCGTACACAGCCCAAAAAACAAGGCAGTATTTAACGGAAGAAAAGTGGAATTATTGGACCATCCTCGATATAGTCCCGATCTAAGTCCTAACGATTTCTTTACTTTCCCGAAAATTAAAAACAGACTGCGTGGTCAAAGGTTCCAGTCACCGGAAGAAGCAGTTGACGCATTCAAAAATGCCGTTTTGGATCTGCCAGCAAACGAGTGGAATAAGTGCTTCGAAAATTGGTTCGAGCGCATGCAGATGTGTATTAATCTTCGTGGAGGATACTTCGAAAAACAATAAAGTCATTTAAGACTACCTACTGTGTTGTTTTATTTCCATATGAAAAACTTAAAAGACATCCCTCGTATAGTGTAAAATACCAGACAACATTAAATGATTTGGTTTATCAAATTCCTTGGAGTAGTCCAAGAGCACGAGAGCGGGAATTCTTCCAGAATCTAAAAGCTTATCAGTAGGTGGCAACTGACATGTTTTACAAGTAACTTCTGTTTTCATAAAGTTATAGGTAAATTACACTTTCCGCGAGTGGTTTACTTTTTGAAACCAGAAGCTATTCGTAAACCTTGTAACTTGTGACACGTCTAATTAGTTTTTAGGGCCCCGCGCGTGAGATCATACGATTAGGTTTAGTATTAAAAAAAAACGTCATTTTGAAATTTCTCAACTTCAATACCCTGCAAACTGCGCCCTGATAGCGATCAAAAGAAACTATCTAGAGAGCAAGTCCGATCCTGAGGAGTAGGGGTAAACATTGCTAACTGTTTCAAGGAAAATGGAATTGATGTTTGGCAAAGGTGGTGCGAAAATGGAAAGGACACTTCAGATGGGATTGATGGATAGCGACAAAAAATTATGATATTTTGGGCGTTGGTATACAAAAACTATGAGAAAAAAATATGTACACTAATTCTATGTTTATTCATTTGTTATGAATCTTTTGAAAATAATCAGTCCAAAAATGGTACAAGCATTAAAAAAGCATACAAAGAGATTAAGAATATATAGGTTTTCCTTTATTTTCTGGAAATATAATTTCTCAAAAATATCGTCGTAGCTGAGATTATGCAATGACAGAGACAAGAAGCGACATACTGAGAGAGATGACACTACATTCATGTGACGATCCATAGATTTCATCATTTGTTATTAATAGTAAAACATTTTCCAGGTTGCACAATTACAATACCTACATTGAAATCACGAGTATATTATAGTTGAAAGTTGAATGACCCCACTGTTATATATTTTGTAAGAATATCAACCGTATCTATTTTTAAATCAGATTGCACATGTTGGAAGGACTAGTCATGTTTTGTAAGCAACGAAATTTCCTGAATGCTACAAGATATATCATCGGTTAAAAATTTTCAGACATTGAGAATATACAAATGATCAAAAAAATGAGTATGATGCACTATATATGTTTGGAATCAGAAAAAAGGACTACCAGAGTCAAATAAATAGGTTAGAGGAGAGGGGGTCAATTTACAGCCGGGATATTCGTACTCATAAAGATGTTATTCTCCAAGGTGGCTCACCACTATACCCTTTTTATTATTGAAGATAGAAAAACGAAATTACCGTATTATAGGTGAATTTACATTTTTGTCACATCACACCGGAAACTTTGGTTTTTGAAATGGGACATCTTATATATTTTTACTTATTTCGATCGAGAATAGCATTATGAACTCATCAACGCCTCACTTTTCAATATGTGACAAATAAGGTCATTTTTCCATTTTTATTTTTCGATCTAGAATACCTTGGATTCTGTGAATCGCTTCATTTTTGATCAAGTATCACGGAAAAAATACGATTTTGAGGTGAACGACCTTACAGTCGTTTTAAAGAATTTATAAAAGTTACAAACACTAATTTTTTCAGCTTACTTGATTTTTTCAAATAGAAAGGAGGTGGCTCGTCGGCTTTTTCTAAGAGACCATTTTCTTATGAATAATGTGGCACTACACAGTCTTCACTTCACAAGTGAATCTGTCAAAAACTGAAAATTCATCTATAACACGCAACTCAAAAATTTCGTTTTTGCTATCTTCAATAATAAAGGCGGTATAGGGGTGAGCCACATTGGAGAATCACCCAGTATATGCTACTAAGCAGAGTGTTGTGCATTTATTCAAGAATGAACTTTCTGCATGCGAGGGATGTCTTTTAAGTTTTGCATATGGAAATAAAAAAACACGGTAGGTAGTTTTAAATGACTTTATTGTTTTTCGAAGTATTCTCCACGAAGATTAATACACATCTGCATGCCTCGAACCAATTTTCGATGCACTTATTCCACTCGTTTGCTGGCAGATCCAAAACGGCATTTTTTATTAATGCGTCAACTGCTTCTTCTGGTGACTGGAACCTTTGACCACGCAGTCTGTTTCGGGAAAGTAAAGAAATCGTTAGGACTCAGTTCGGGACTATATGGAAGATGGTCCAATAATTCCGTTAAATACTGCCTTGTTTTTTTAGCTGTGTGCGAGCTTGCATTGTCTTGGTGGATGATGATTCTTCTTCCGTGGTTGATTTTTCGAAGCTCGACTTTTGGCAAACAAATGGTGGTATACCAATCCGCAGTAACAG